GATGAAGTATACAGTGCACTCCAATCCAAGCAGTCGTAGGCTCGCAGCAGCCGAGGGGCAACAGCTAGCTAGAGATGGCTACATGGTTTCATAGGTTCTGATCAACTGCACTCCCTAGGCTGTGGTTGACGCTGCCGCTTCAGGAATCCAACTACTAAGTAAAGACGTACTCCTACCTTACTAGTATTACTTCATGCATGAAGCCATAGCCGGTGCGGCTGCTGTTTGTAGCACACCGATCAGGCAAGTTCTACTCACATAAAAAATAACATTTTTTTAATGTATGACGTGGGGCCAAAGTGCTTTTGTCAGCTATGAACAAATGCACTCAATTTGCTACGACTTTCAAATGTACAAACGACACTATATACTGTCCTATGAGATGAAATGTACAACGGGCATATTTTCTTATGTGTACAGTAAAGAATGCGAACAGAAAGAAACGTGTAGATTAGAAAGAGAATTAGAAAACTTCGCATTTTCTAGTAATCTGACCGTCTCGTCCGCCCGGTCGCCCGCCCACCCAGTAATCTGAACCATGTCATCGTTGCGAGTTCCCACGCCAGTTTGCAGAGGGTATTTAAAACTCCTACTGTAACCCTCGCTCGGCCGCCTCCCCTGCCTCCTCCTCAATCAACGTAAGTCGATCATGCCGCACCGCCTATCTAGCCCTCCATCTCGCCACCATCCACACACCGTAGCTCCATCCACGCACACAACGTAGCTCCATCCATGCCGCCGCATGAGCCCTCGGTTGGCCTCCTCAAACTCCGCATCGCGTGACGTCGTCGATGTCGGCAATCATGGTGGTGAGGAGGCACCCCACGTCGCTGTTGCTGGTGCTCCCTAATGAGTTAGCCATTGAGATCGCTGGCCACCTTGCTGTGACTTTGGAGCGGCCCATGGACGACCTCCGCAGCCTACGAGTGACCTGCTCGTCCATGCACCGTATCTGCGGCAACCCCGCCGTCGGTCGGCATGTGGCACTGCACCAGTGCGAACGCGGGCTAGGGTTGGATGATCTCGGCAACTACTACACCCTCCTTACTAGCCTAACCCAACTTGACAACCCAGAGGCTTGCTTCCTCACCAAGATACCAAACGTATTCAAGGAAAACCATAGGCCACGACCATACCTCGACAATCTCACCAGCGCCACCAATGGCAGGCACAATCTGGCGGCCTATCTGGTCGCCATATTGCTCTATAGGCACATTGGCGATGCCCACGACGACAACACTACGAGGTGGTACATGAGACGGGTCGAGGGCGAGGAAGAATCATAGGCGGCGGACCAACGAGTAGGTGGCTACGCAACAAGGGGTGTGTGTTGTGCCGCCGTGAGGCGGCCGCCAAGGTGAACTGCGAAACGGGGTGGGACAAGTTGTCACTGTCGCCGCCAACACAGGTGCGCGTCGATTTTCCATGCGTAGGCGGTGCTTGCGGCGATGCAGACGGATGGGAAGGAAGGGTTGTGTATTGCAGCGAGGACTGTAGGCTTTACCGTGAATTTGAGTTGTTCGCATGGGAACTTGGAATAAGAAACTAGTAATTCACTCTTTACATGCGAGAGTGAATTACTCCCTCCTTCCTAAAATATAGTGTATTCTGGCTTCAGTAGTACTTTTCAGCGAACACACAATGTTTTTCTCTCACAACAAATCAGCATAAGCATCATCATAAGCCAAATTTCAGTGAAACGAACAGGGTCAGCCCTGTTCATTCGTCCTTCGACCAGATCAGCGATGTCATCGTCCTTCGATCCCGATGGAAAACCCTGCTCCATCACCCGGACGTTCACTGCTACGCCAATCTAAAGCTGGGCAGCAGCCAACGCCGTGGCAGCCCCGTGACGAATGGCTTCGGTCACCACGGCTCGAAGGCAGACCGGAAGAGCTCAGAGGTGCTCCTTTGTGGCGACCGGATTGTCCGCTATTTCCACGAGGAAGGCCATGTCATAGGCGGCTTGCGCGCATAGCTGCAGGGTCTGGACCCACATCCTTAGATGCACAAGAAGGTTCATCATATTATGGACCTGCTCCTTCACCATCGCCTAGTCAACTCGCGCCTGGGAGGCCTCATTCTCGAAAACTTGAAGTCCGTCGCGCGTGGCGTCCAGCTCACTGCGCAACATCTTGGCGTTCATCCTAGATGATGACAATAATACTTGGACCTTGCGATAATCCTTCAATAATTGACGATAGTCTGCGTCGTCTGAGTATTCACGCTCTTCTGACGATTCGCCCACTTCAGAACCAGAGGGTTGTGCAGGGACACATGGGCTCGGTGGCGGCGAGCGACGACGGGATGACTCTTCGGCAACACTGGGGGAAGCCCCATGACTGAGGATGGCGTCGTCATGGAGAAAACGCTGCACAATGCAAGCCAAGGTCAAGCCCATATAGGATAAGGGGAGAGCGATCGGATTAAGAATGCAAACGACTTATACCGAATTGACCGGCGCAGCATGGCACGGAATCATGGGTGGCTACCCCCATCGGTGGATGCCTCGCGAGGGACGCTTTTCGAGCGTTACCGTGGACTAAGAACCGGGATCTAGGTTTAATGAGGCTCGGGATGCCATCATGCCCACGTTCACCTGTTGAGAAAGTAGGCACATTCCAAATACTAGTTAAATTAAACAGCATGAACATGTACTAGCTAGTGTGAGCATTGCTCCCATATTCTATTTAAATGAAGATAAACAACATGAATAGTGGTACGGTGATAATCCACCTTCGAAGGGGAACTAGTTGTGGGTCAAAGACCACGTCAATGAGAGGTTCGTCTGTCAGAGGAGGATTGCTGGAGTGGAAGGCATCCGGGGCCTCCCCATCACCATGATCCTGCATGGACACTCTAATAGCTGTCATCATCAGATCATCTACCTCCTCCAAGCGGATGGGGATGCTCGACTCGATTGTAGGGTTCGTCACACCCTAGAACTCCCACTGGGGGTGGCCCCTCATCTTCAAGGGGAGGACCCGATGGTTGAAGAAGGTACGGATCACCCTCGGCGACGTCAGTTTTCGGTCCTTCAGATCCTCGATCGCACTAGCAAAGTGCAAATGCTGTGGTTCTAACAGGGTTGGCAGCCTCGACCACGATTCTGATGTATCAGGACACAGCCGGTCGTGAAAAAAAAAGTTGGCAGCTGTAGCCGCTCATTGTTGGGGATGTAGAGCCACCTATGCTTCCAATCTAGGTCTATGGTATAGTGGTGGTTAAGGCTCAGGTAGCACTCCTCCAATTTGGGATGAACTTCGATCGAGGCGCCCCCATCGGACAACAACGGTGCCAAGAGGACACTGGCGGAACCACCCAGAAAAGAAACCGCCATAGATCATAATGGGTAGGTATTCCCAGGAAGCCCTCGCATAGCATGATGAAGACCGAGAGGTGGAGGATCCCCTCTAGGTTAAGTCGTGGAGGTGGGGCCCGTAGTAGTAGAGCAACCACCTCAGTAAGGGGTCCGTCGACAGCCAGAACCCAAGAAGGTGGAAAGGGACGACCTTATTTTCCTTCGGCCTCAGCTCCACTTTGCTTCTTGCCAGGACTCTCCACCCGAGCTCCTCGGCGGCCTTCGGGATCACCCCCTCTCTAGCAACTGGTCAAACTCAGCCCGGTTGACAAACGACCTCGTCCACTCCACCATTGTCCTGGCAGGAGGCGTCGATGGCGCAGTAGGGTGGAAGGCAAAAGCTTAGGGATGGAATTAGGAGCCCAGGAGAGAGAAGGCAGCAGGTATAACCTTCCCTCTCGCCCCTTGTCTCTGCTGCTATAGTTTGGGGGCCGTCGACCACCCCACGATCGAGACGTTTGCATGGGCGGGCGGCGGGGCTTTGCCCCGTCTCATCAATGCGACGGGCCGGGAGGCGGCGTCCCCTACTGTAATAGGCTGCTGACGCCACCCACGCGCGTGCGCCTGCGTGGGAATGCAGGAGCACGTCGTCCGGGTAGTCAAGATTTCAGACGGCCAGACCTTGTGTGATCCTGTGAAGTAGACAGTGTGGTCTAATCCAAGCAGTCATGACAGTCGAGGGACAGACCGAGGACTTGCTTCAATTTCTCTTAGTTTGCAGAGACAAGCATCAGATTATAAAATCCGAATTCTGATTAAAATTATCTTTGATGCATGGTTCTTGCAAGTTCAACAAATCTTATCAAATACACGAAAATAAGACGAGTTGGCTTCAACACAGATCAAAGCCACTCATGACTACTACTACCGATACAAATGTTGTGACCGAGTACACTCCGTAGGCAATAGTTTTATTCACAGCTATGTACTGTATAGTGTCCGACGAGTTGAAATGTGCCACATTCGGACTTTCTTGCGAGTGCAGTAACATATGAACTGCTATTGGGCTGCTCCTTTTCGGTGGCTCGTTTCTCGACGTGTATTTCTCGAAAGGCGTGCTCCTCAGAGATCATGGAGATGTGGCCTCGCCTTACCTCCTGCTATTGCCCGACATCTGTTGGAATTCGGGTCCATCGGCCGTGTGCGTCCCCTGCTATAAAAACAGAGGAAAACAGAGGAGTCAGGGTACAGTTGCCTTTTAACTTTGTGAACTCACCTTTTCTGCTCACCGCCTCCTCCCCAGCACCTCGTTCTTTGAAGCTTGAACCATGGCGGCGGAGAAGCATCCAAGAAAGGAGACGATGGTGCGGGACCTAGACGTGACCAGGCAGGCTCTCCGCGTGGAGAACCGAGAGGTGGAGCGGCTGCGGTCGTGCTTCTCCACTGTGGAGACAGCACTCGCCGCAACAGGCGCAACTCACTGGTAAGGCACTCTCATTACCGTATTTTCTTGTTTTGTGTCGCACCACACCTTATTAATTGATACGGTTTTCTCGTTCTTGCTGTTTCAGCCATCATGGAGCAGCTGAACGCCGCGTCCGTGCCGCCGGCGGGGCCGAACTTCCTTGAGCATGTCCGTGCTCTGCTGGCGCGGATCTGGGAGGTAGTGACGCGTGGCCTTCGCCACGGGGCTGCTCACCGTGGGGCTGGTGGGGCAGTGGGGCGCGACGACGAGCTCGGCGTCGCCGCTCTGGTGGTGGTCGTCGTCTCGTTGTTGGTGGAAAGTGTAGGAGAAGGAGATGACGCCATTGGGCTGCCTGCCGTCTGGGTCCGCCAACTGGTAGGACACGTGGCGCGTCCGCTCGTCGGCGACGAGGTCGGGGACCGGCACCGCGGCGGACGCGGCGAGCACGTCCCCGAGAACGGCCACCTCCGCCTTGAGCTCGAACCGCACCAGGAGGACGTCGTCGTCGCCTCTGTCCTTCCTGTTCTTGCCCGCTTCCAGCTCCTGCTCCGCCGGCGGTGGCGAGGCCTCGGGCTCGGAGAGGTAGAGCCGCAGGGGCGCGTCCCGCTCGGGGTTCTCGCCGCCGGCACGGTCGGTGGGCGTCTTCACGCGGTGTGGACGGCGGTGGCCGTGCGCGTTCCTGGCGGACGACGGGGTGACGGAGGACGCGTAGAGGCACGGCGTGTGGAACGGGAGCGACGACCTGAAGCCGCGGCAGGACACCCAGGTGATGTCGATCGCCGCTGGCTCCGGCCGCCGGCGCAGACGCTCCATTGCAGCCTGCTGATTGACTGGCAGCACGAGATCGAGATTAACAAAGAGCCGATCGAAGCCTGAACTGGGAAGAAGACGCGCTGAGCTAGGAATGGCTCACTACTGCGTGATGAGAATGAGATGAGACGAGGAGGCGAAACAGTAAGCTGGGAGGTTAAAAAGTGGTGAGCAGAGCACGATGACGCGGTGGCGGGAGACGACCGCGAGTAAAGTCTTTGAGGCAGACGAGAGGAGTACTGAACGAGTGACGACCGGAACGGGACGCGTCAGTATCAGCTGCCAGCGGCCCAACGACGAACTTCAAGGAGCTCCAAGGAGGCTGCGCGGCAACTTCAGCACGGCTCGCGCCTGTCAGAAAGCTACGTGTTCCGGCCCTCCAGGACCACCGGTGTCGTTACGCTGCACGGCTGCAGGAAGAAAAATCTGGTGATGGACAGGGAAAGAGTTAAGATGACAGCACCAGGTTGTTGAATTTCGATTTGTTCGTCTCCCAGTGACCACGAATTGTAGCGCAAATTGGCCAGCTGGGCAAGTAAAAGTATCTCATGTTCCAGAGTTGTTGGAGCAGGGGAATGGCATGATCTGGCTTTCGACAGTCTAGCTGCCCTAGCGGTAAGCCGTTGGCGCTGCACCAGCAGCGGCCATAGATTTAGTTGCAAGCACATTTCACAGTTGCCAGAACAAGATGCCCTTCTTGCCTTGTCATTACTCGAGCTTTTCCACATGAACATGGTGGAACACCCAGCCTAACCTAACCCAGTTCCGGGTTCCCGGTTCCTTCCCAGTATGCAGCCCGACCGCAAAAGAAATTGCAATTCTGTAAAAGATGATCACAACATGCAACCACTGAAATGGTTGAACAAATAGGAAGCGAATTGAATCATTTGAGTTGTGTATTCTAAAACTTACACATGTATATGCAGCTGGGTGGGTATGGACAGTGTTTTGGATGGAAAAAAACGTTGAACTATACACTCATGTTACAGCCAACTACGATCACAACAAACAATTGCCTCTGGAAGCAACAAAAAAACTTTACTGCCATCCGCTAGGCAACATCAAAAGTAAAGACCTTTGCTGTGTATCTATATACCACCATCGGCTATAGATTACTCCAATCTGTGGTTCTTAAAGGGGCATACTTTGAACGGTCATTTCTGAAGCCGGTTGTTCTTGATGAGACCATAGGGATCGCAAGCACCGACGAAGCGCTTATGGTGTCCTCCCCAAGGCCAAGGGACATGGAGCATGCAGACTGCAAATAAGATTAGATGAGAAAGGCGAACTTGTGAACAGATCTATGGTACAATCAGATCTAGAAAGAAAGCCAATGACCTTTGCCTTCAACAGTACACGTTTTGCTTTTACTTTTACAGAAGTAACAAACGAGTTGCTTTCATCCGTGTCTGTCTCCTCCATCTGCATCTTTCCATTTCTGCAGTGTCCAAGTTATACATCAAAACACTGAATGCAATACTGAACACAAAATGAAACAGAACAAAACTTGAAACTTTCTACAAGTTCATGGAATAGAACCTGTCCAAATCAACTATGCAGTCCTCGATGGTGCTCGAACCATCTTTTGTATCAGCTGCCGACAATTGACCAAGAGTCAAAATCTTTATGTGTGAAAGCACATGAAAATCAACCTTCTACCAACCTTTAGTGTCATCGGGTGCAAGCAAGGAGATCCCAACGAAGACAAATGTCATGCCCAATACAAACATAATTATCCTGAGCGTATCAAATACCTGACAGCGGAAAAACAAAATCCTCAGTTTCTAATTAAGCAATGCATGATTCACTTCATTATCTGATTATTGCAAACAGGAGCCTACTTGATATTCTTGAAAGTAAACAAATCCTGTACAAATAGAGAAGAAGGTCCAAGCAATTTGAAACATTGGAACAATCAGTATTGCATCAAATAATGACAGCCCTTCATTCAATCTTGCCATCTGTCACATAGGGCATACCGAAGTTGAATTAGACAAACAGCAGCAGCGGAGTAGCCTCAGAAACAATGCATTAGATTAGCCATATACCCAAAATCCAGCAGTACACAGAAACAGAAAAACAATTGAGTATGTGAGCCAGCTATGGAACTCGTATCTGCTGCTCATAGTCAGCCTCAGCATGTTAGACCTGGACAGGAAACAGGAAGGAGGGGGGATAGCACATGGTAGTCAGCACCAAATAAATCTGAAAAAATCAGCATCCTTGATGCATGGATTTTTATGAAATAAAATATAACCTACAATGACTTTGCAAACAAGACAGAGCAAGATCCAATAGCACCAGATACAACAGCATAAGAAAATGGCAACATTGTTCGCCAATATGTGCCAACATCTTTTGAACTGTTTGAAATAATAGTTTCTCCACTCCTGCAAAAGTTTTTGAACTGGTAAGGAAGAGCATGGCCTGTTTCTGAAGAGAATAGGTTACACGAGCAAGGCCTCACCTGTAGAGATAATGGTTAAATGCAACAACAAAGACCAATGACATGCAATAAAGAACAAACACCAAATTGCTGTATTTTGCGATAAGCTGCTCCGGCGTGTAAACTGACAAGATAATTTTAGTATTAGCACGACTAAATAGGAACCACGAAAAAACCGAAATTGCACATCTCTACATTGCAAATATTTCGCAGATACTACATATAGTAGAAATGGCAAATGGAACAACCCATACCAGGTGATTGATGGTTGCCAAAGGATACTAAGAAGATGTTGCCGAAGACGATAAACGTTGTGGCTACCATGACTCTGGAAAGAAGCGCAAAAGCTTCATTAATCACATGATTCCATGTATTGATTGTAATTTTCATTCCAGCTAACGGGAAGTGAGAAACATACATACTTCACTGAAATAGTCTTGTTCAACACAAAGTAGGCAAAAGCAATGTTGGACACAAACTGGATTGATCCAAGAGCTGCAAGTAGTGACTGCAATATAGCAAGCAAATAATCAATTTCCAAATCAAAACACTAGAGAAATAGAAAAGAAAATATGATTGGATGCCATAATTAGCTCTAAGTAAGAAGCAAGAGATGGAAACTGTACGATTGAGAAGCTCTTATCTTTTTAACCCAACAACAAATGGAAAAATGCTATTCCTGTATTTCCAATAGAACAGGGCACAAATCCAGAGTCTCTACAAGAGCTTTATTCTTTACATGTTTACACAACCATTCATGAGTTTCCCATATTATATTACATCCTACATGTTAAACTAAATTTGCTTTTGAAATCTTGAGGACAACGAAAAAGAACCTGTGCAGCATAAGCAAATGACATGAAGTTGAGGCAGTTCCCAGCAGCAAAAAAGAGTATACCTGAATGCAGATGTAGCATTAAAGTTGGCTTTTGATTATAAAAGACTAAAATTAGTAAATAAATTCTAGCAGACAGGAGTGGTACCTATTCTCCAAGTCTGAAAATGCATAACAGACTTCGGGACGAATTTTTCATTTCCCTCGCTGTTGTTAATTAAGGAAAGCTTTTCTCTCTGCCAAATAAAACAAACATATTTTTTTTATTCTTCATCTCACGTAAAACAACATCATATTCACACATGGGAACTGAGCCCAGTGCAAGTGGAGGATCTATTCAACATGAGATTGGGTGCCTATTTCTTCTTATTTACCGCCTAACTTGTCATAGTCATAAGTTGGTTGTTCCTTTTTTTCATAATCCGCACATAAAAGTAACTATAATCACATTAACTTCAAAGGATGTTAGGCATTAATGTAGATAATGCTCAAATACCACAGCAAAGGTTAGCTACAAAGTTACCAAAATCAGCCTAGGGAATCAAGCTATATTTGACATGCTGTCCTACAGTTTGTAATCAAATGCACAATTTATTGCTTACAACAACTTCAAGAACACTAGAAATAGCTAATTAGGCAATCAACATCCTAATTAGTTAATGCAACATTTTCTCATGATGAAGCCTATAGATGAAATGGCTAGGTCATCTAGTAACCAAAAAAGGGTGTTACTAGGGTTCATTTTTTTTCTGCTTTCTTTTTGGCAAAAAAAAAACATGGATTTAGACTAAAGGTGTTTTCACCCTCAACTGACTAAATGGGTCAAACTAGGGCACCCGCATGTATGTTCTCCTTGATCTTTTCACTGGAACACATATATGAAGTATATTAGAAGTAAGAACAAGGAGCACAATTCAGAAACATGTAATATCCACCTGATCATGGCCCAACTTCAGAAGGTTGGTACCAAAGTTTATGGCAACACTCCCCACGATGTTTATCAACGCCCCTATAACCCAGTCGCCCATGAGTCAACTGTCAAGTTATCTCCTACAAATATATGATATGCTCCTTCCACAAGCCCCTTGTACAACAGCTCCTTGCTCTTGTTTTGGACATAACGGACTTCAATTCATTGAGAACTTTCTCTCTTTCCCCTTTTTCTCTTCTTTAGCGTAGGTGTATTCACCCCCAGTAGTCTATCACAAACCTCTCCAAGATCCCTTTTTCTCTTCTTCGCGTAGGTGTAGTCTGTTACAAACCTCTCCGAGAACCACTGTGGAGCTCAGCCTGCAAAAAAGACATAAATGCCATTTCAATCAGACCCACACAATTGGGATGAATACCATTGGTCATTTGAAGACAGGGTCATTCCAGGGGCATTCAAAGAGAGGGCACCATTTGACAAGGCATTCAAAGATGATTTTACCAGGGCGGACCCAGATAATTTTTTTGCAAAACAATCGAAGCTCGTAGGCATAATACATGCATATACGCTTGTAATTAGACCAGATCCGATTACAAATAGCAAGTTAGGGTTTGGGTGCTCGGTTTCGCACAGCAGGAATGAGAGACCAAGGGGTGGGCGTACGCGTACCTGCTGGTGCTCGTCGCCGGCGAAGGACCCGGAGAAGACTTGGGCACCTGGCGTAGGGCGGCAGCGACCGACCTCGGCCCGAAGAAGACCTGGGCACCTGGCGTAATCGTCGGCAAGAGAGAGAAGAATGGAGGGAGGGCCGCAGGGAGATAGAGCGCGAACGCTGGGGGAACGGAAGAGAGAAGGAAAGGTAGGCTTGCTTGTCCGGTGAGAGGAGAAAGAAGTCAGAAAGGTAAGAGGAGGTGGTGGGCACGTCAAGATTCGTGTGTGCCGTCGGATCCCGATCTCGCGGCCCGGAAGGGTGGGGCCAGGAAAGGGAACAGCCAGGGCAGCATGCAGCTGGTCTCACGCTTTTTTTTTTTTCAAAACAGCTAGTATGTTGCAACAACAACAGCTTTGTCGCGTGGCGATATGCATGATTTGGGGCTCCAACTCTCCAAGGTTTATTTTAGGGGAATTTTTTTTGTGAGCCATTAAAAAAGATCGTAATCCCAATCCCCTGTATGTCATTGGAAAAGTTCAGCGGACTTCAGCGCCACTGCTCCAACTTTTTTTTTTGCCCTCCATGCCATGTGTAAAAAGTCAAAAATACCCTTAAGTTTAAATATGTCATTAATTTTTTTAGCATCTTAACGACTTCAAATGAAAAAATTCAAAACTAAAAAGTTGTAGATCTCGTCAAGATCTATAATTTTCATATAAAAATTATCTTCATTTAATTCCACAAAAAAAGATATGATTTAATATGATAATATATCTTAGAAAAATCATATTTTTTTTTACGGTATTAAAAGAAGATAATTTTTATATGAAAATTATAGATCTCGACGAGATCTACAACTTTCTAGTTTTGAGTTTTTCATTTAAAGTCGTTAAGATACTAAAAAAATTAATGGTATATTTAGACTTAAGAATATTTTCGACTTTTCACACCTGCAGTTTGACACCGTTAGAGCCCAATCTAATGGCAGTGGTATGGAGGGCAAAAAAAATTAGAGCGGTGGTGTTGAAGTCCGCTAAACTTTTCTAGTGGCTCACAGGGGATTACGATCTTTTTTAATGGCTCGTGAGAAATTCCTTATTTCTAATACATTTTGAAATCAAAGTCTATATATGGACACACCGTGTTACTCTAACTTTTCAATTAAGTACAGATACCGATGATAGTTAAAGAGTCGTAGCTTTCTCTTCTTTTCCTTTCTCGTGTCTTGTGCTTCTTCTGATGGAGTAGCAGTAACCGTAGCATCGGTTGTGGGGTTGGACTTTCGTTTCGCTGTCGTTGGAGCATCTTTTGCTTCATTTGCAAATTTCTGGTGCTAGCTTTGAGGAACAATTAAGCTAAGCCACCAACTTTGAGGAACACGGAGGTTGGTTCAGCTTTCTACGTTGTCGTTGCACTTTTCAATTGTGGCTCCACATGCTTTTCTTTCTGTCTTTTTATTACTCGACGATGTTGCCAATTGTTAAGATAATAGCATGTTTGATCTCGAATGTCACTTGTTTCCATCCTGGACACTAATGATTCGAACACATGTGTAAGAAAGTAATTTCGTTCAAAAAGAAAAATGTTAGGACATATGCACGCCGGATGTACTTAGGGAAAATAAACGTTTTTCTCATTGACGGGTCGTCATATGTTACCATTTGCATAAAAAATGGATGGATAATAAGATGCTTAGGTATGCTCTAGCTACTTTAGGATATGCTGCCTATTTATTTAAATACAAATTTGTGTTGGAAAAAATGACTTTACACGTGTGCAATGTCGCATCAAGACTTTCTCTCTTTTCTAATTATTTTCTTCTAACAGAAATACAAGTCTATATACTCGTATACTCCCTCTGTTCCATTTTGAGTTAGGTACCTTTGACTTCTCAGGAAGTAAGAACGATGGTTAAAAAGGGGACGGGGGAAGTATGTTGGTCCTAGATCTGTTTTTTATCATTGACCATAACTGCCTAATGATTTTTATAGATTTTCAATGCAATATTGGCATTACTAACTTGTCTCGTTAGATTTTCAGTGGTGGAACAAATCCGCCAATGTTTAAGTTTTTGACTGGACACATGTTTGATCTCAAGATTTGCCAATCTAACCTCTAAAAAAAATTTGAAACAGAACCTCTCAAATTAAAGGTGTCCCCAAGGATAGTATGTGCAACATACATCCATATAATCATTGTGCATATCCGTGGGTGTCTGCGTTAATGTGTTTAGAAATCATTAGAAAAAGTACCCTAACTCATTTTGTATATGAATGATCCATCGTTACCATTTACGTGTAGTAGAGACAGATTTATAGAGTTTCAAAAAAAGGATAGATTTATATAAGTTTTGAATCAGCAGGATCGGTAAGCTCCCACTCGTTTTGTAGGTGCGCGTGTCGTTGTTGGCCGTCTATGGCGTACGGGCGCGTTGTCGGGTATCTTTCAGCTTTCATCAATCGTCGTTCTCGTTGACGCTTCGGTTTTTGCTACTTCTGCAACTCGATCTACTCCGTTTTTTTAAAGCACGGAGAACATGTGAGCGAGACGAGGAAGCTTCCAATCCCAGCATCCACACCGGTCGTTGCTTGGGCTCCGGCTGCCGGTGACGATGGTGATGCGTGGTCGCGTGGATTGGCGCACGGCTTCCAAGCTAGGATGATTCTTCACTGGATCACCAATCAGGCAATCACCACTGCTGCTCTCGAGTTGCTGGTCAAATACTCAGACAAGCCTGGTTAACTTTCGAAAAAGAAAACAAGGCTGGTTAAGTTTTTTTTTCTTAAGGCTGGTTAAGTTACTACTGCTAACCCTTGTCAAACAAGATCAGATTTTTAGTCACCTCTTTTTTTTCCCCTCACTGAGCTCACCAATCATTTTATAAATTTTTTTGTCGATAAGAACCAACCAGAAAATTGACAATCATATATAATAGAGAAGAAAAAACTTACAACAACAAATAAAAGAATAAACGAAACACGAAAGAAGCTACAGTAAAACAATCAACGTAACAACACACTACTAAAATATCCACCAAAAGTACCAACAACAATGCCACTTCACACGCCATAGCAAGAGGCACAAGATGAAGGGGTGAGAAGGAGGGGTTTTATTAGCAATGCATCCAAGAAGGGAATGACATCCACATATGTCGTCAACGCTAGCCCAAGATTTAGCATAAAGATTTCAACCAGACCCCCCAAGTGGAGAGGGTGGCCTCAAGGCAAAGCCTCCAACCATGGATGTGACACTAAAGATGTCATCATTGTCAGCCTTACCAAGAAGCCTAGTTGGACTGACGAGATCCTAACATATGGGTATGTTAAGCCTCGGGATCAAATGTTTCCGGCCGAGAGACCCCCCGACCGACCCCTTCAGGATCGCCCGGGGCCTCGGGGGCTATACCCATCGGGTACGCTCACGCGAACCATCAGGCCAAGGGATCAGGCCGAGCCCGAGCACGTCCGCCGCCTCTGCTCGTGGCTCGGGGGCTCGTCCGAGCTTCTCGCTCCCAATCGATGGAAGCATGGACCCTATCCTTGTCTCCCTCCTAGCCTTCGGCTCCAGCCAAGGCCCGGGCATGGCAAAGAACACCCCGATCCAATGAGGCTCGAGGGGGCTCCCCGAGCGCTGCTCTTTGGGAGTGGCTTTGTCAACCACTCCCCCGACAGGGTCACACACGAGGCGTGACACAAGAAGACAAGCTCCCCCACGGACTTCAGGGGCTCGGGAGCTCCCGGGCCCACACATCAGCCCCTCAAGCCGACCTCCTTCACCACCAAGAAGCCTCCAAAAGGCGCACCTGGGGGAGGCCGGTCCAAGCCGACACAGCCTGACACTCAACGTGTCAGAACAGAGCAGCCGGACGACACCCAGAGCTTCTTCGGCTCCACGACACCGCCACATTCCACAGAGCGCCGCTGCAAGACCCTCCTAGACTTTGGTGCATGTTGACCATAGGTTCAACCCCCCAAACCGCCATGTACCCGACCTATCTCGATATATAAGGGATAAGGTCGGATCTTAGAGGGGGGAGGTGGATCCGAGATAGATCATTCCATTCCTCACCAATCCGCTCCTGCTTGGCACCGAGAGCAGAGCAACCCAGAGAGGGGCACCGAGAGCTCCTCCACCATACCTGTCGTCTTCCTCCTCTCCGACAAGGGGAAGGTGTGGCAGAACCAACTAAATTATAGGACCCACGTGCACCTGTCACTGTCCAACGACCTCTGACGACTATGCATATGTTCCTGGTAACTTAAGAAGATTGTCGGGTGTCCTTGAGGAACCCCAAATCATCCACGATTTCCGAGCAGGATCACATTACAGAGTCATTGTAGTATTACAACATTTATTCAAATATCTACATCAGAGTAAAATAGCAGAAGTCTTACAATAACTTAGTTTACAAAACAGTAGTTTCAAACCTTACAACTAAGTTTGATAATTATTACAAAACGTAGTAGTGGAGTTGCATTATAACATAATACATGGATTGCCCTGCCCAAGGGCCACGCATTTACTTATCGTCATCGCATTGAACAACAGTCATGCAGCACGGTCCAAAGCATACCTGCTCATGAGCCTCACCTGCAACAAGGGTCAACGAACCCTGAGTACAAAAGTACACAACAAGACTTAACCGAAATAAAAATTGATAGAACGCAGGAATGTAGCTCATGGATTCAAGATATGGCTTTATCAATAATCAAAGTTCTTTTGCGTAAAAGCTCTTTAACAAAATTCTTTACTTCAACATATAAAACTTCATAAGAATCACATATGAATCTAC